TGATCATGTTGAATCGCAGAACAGGTTTGAAGGGCCAAATAGCCTACTGATCATAAGACCGTAAGACATAGGAGCAGCAGAGGGCAATTTTTTTTTATTCTTTATTCATTCATGGGATAAGGGCATCGCTGGGTAGGCAGCATTAATTGCCCATCCCTAATTGCCCAGGGGGCAGTAAGAGTCAACCATGTTGCTGTGGGTCTGGAATCACATGTAGGCCAGACCAGATAAGGATGGCAGTTTCCTTCCCAAGGACATTAGTGAACCAGATGGGTTTTTCCGACTATTGACAATGGATTCACGGTCATCATTAGATTCTTAATTCCAGATATTTATTGAATTCAAATTCCACCATCAGCCGTGGCAGGATTCAAACCCAGGTCCCTGGGTATCTGGATTAACAGTCCAGCGATAATACCACTAGCCCATTGCCTCCCTGATGATGCTGATTGGCGGTTGGGGCAAAGATTTGCTTTGGCACAATCACCACCAGCAGAAGGAGCACCTCAGCAAGACACCCTCCGAGTTTGAGTGAAGACAAGCGTCCAGCAGAGGGCAGTGACAATGCTGATTGGCAGTTGAGGTGAAGATTTTCATTGGTGCAGTCACCACTACCAAACAGGAATTTGAGGAGGAAGTGTTGTCTAGAGAGGCTGTGACCTGATTGGCTGGTAGGAAATCTGCACTAAATTTGAAAAAGAACACAGCAAAGAAGTATCAATAAATTTAATTAACTCAATAAAGTAATTAACTAAGTAGAAATGACTGGACAGGTGATGTGTTGTAGCTGTATGATGTGGGAGCTGACTGATCCCATTGGGAACAGCGGTACCACATCTGCAGAAAATGTTGGTTGCTCAAGGAACTTTGGCACAGAGTTGATGAGCTGGAATTTGAGCTTCAAACACTGCGGTGCATACAGGAGGGGGAGAAGTACCTAGATGCTGTGTTTCAGGAGGCATTCACACCTGTTAGATTAAGTACTTCAAATTTGGTCAGTGGCCAGGGACAGCAGGGGGTGACTGCAAGTGAGGCAGGTAGAGGGAACAGAGGAGCTTCAGCTTGTCCAACAAGTACGAGGTACTTGATCCCTGTGTGGATAAGGAAAAGGGCTGCAGGGAGGATGAGCCAATTGACCACTGCACCGTGGCATGGGAGGCCATTCAAGAGGGGGGGAGCAAAAAGACAAGTAGTAGTTGTAGGGGATTCTATAATCAGGGGAATAGATAGTATCCTTTGTAAGCAGGATCGAGAGTCCAGCATAGCGTGTTGCCTGCCTGGTGCCTCTGACTGGCTTGAAAGGATATTGGAGAGGGAGGGGGAGGATCCAGTTGTTGAGATCCACGTCGGAACAAACAACAAAGGCAAGACTAGGAAAGGGGACCTGTTCAGGGATTAGCAGGAGCTAGGAACAAAATTAAAGAGCAGGTCCTCAAGGATTATAATCTCTGGATTACTGCCCGAGCCACGTGCAAATTGGCATAGGGACACGAGAATAAGGGAAGTAAACATGTGGCTAAAAGAGTGGTGTGGGAAAGAGGGGTTCCTTTTCACAGGGCACTGGCATCAGTTATGGAACAGGAGGGATCTGTACCGCTGGGACGGTCTTCACCTGAATCAAGCTGGGACCAATGTTCTAGCAAGAAGGGTAAATAGGCTGATCAATAAGACTTTAAACTAGAAAGCGTTGGGGAGGGGGTGGTGTGGAATGGGAAGGGTAAAACTTCCTCCAGTGGGGAAGAAATCTGTATGGGTAGATTCCACTGTACGGTAAAATATGAAAAAAGTGACAGGAAAGGAGAACTCAGGAGAGGTTATTAAAGTCTCCAGCACAGACACAAATAGGACAGAGTGTTTGGAAAGGGTTAGGAATCAAACTTCAAGCACACTGGATAAACGAATGACAATGAGAAGACGGACGGTTAACACAGGACTGAAAGTGTTATATCTGATTACAAGCAGTATAAAAAAATAAGGTAAATGAGCTTGTGGTGCTTATCGAAATTGGCACATATGACATGGTGGGCATCATGGAGACATGGCTGCAAAGGGATCAGGATTGGGAGCTGAATATCCAAGGATATACAACCTATCAAAAAGATAGGCAGATGGGCAGAGGGGTGCAGTTGCCTTATTAGTAAGAAATTAAATTAAATCAATAGTAAGAAACTAAGTAGGGTCAGATGGTGTAGAATCTGTGTGGGTAGAGTTGAGGAACCGCAAAAGTAAAAAAAAAACCATAGTTGGAGTTATGTACAGGCCTCCAAACAGTAATCAGGACCTGGGATGCAAGATTCATCAGGAGATAGAAAAGGTGTCTAAGAAAGGCAAAGTTACAGTGATCGTTGGGGGATTTCAATATGCAGGTGGACTGGGAAAATCAGGTTGGTAATGGATTACAAGAAATGGAATTTGTGGAATGGATCCTAGTTTCTAAGTCCTCTGGTTTTGAACCCTGCTGGAACAGTTTCTCTTTATTTACTCTTTCAACATCATTCAATGTTATGATTACTATTAAATCTCCTTTTAATCTAAGGAGACTATCTCCAATCTCTGCAATTTCTCCACATAACCAAAATCCCTCAAAACTGGTAACACTCCAGCAAACTTTCTGTGCATCCTCTCCATCCTTCCTGGAAAATGGTACCCAGTTTTGTACTTAGTGCTTAACTGAGATTGGACCAGTGACCTCTTTGCTTTACTTCTTTGCCTCTATTCTTTATCAGGCGTATCTTTATCTTTGATGTACATTGTGTCTGGTGTATGGTATCTCTAGCATGCCTTATGTCGAACCCAGCAATACAAGAATATGTGGCACTGGTTAGCATTTGCGGTCAAATTGATGAAAAGTATTGTGTAATATTATGACATGGTGACAGATATTCCAACTAATCCAACCTTTTATTTTCTCTCTCTCTGGGCTCTGTCTCAATCTATTCAACTCACTTCCTTTCCCCCTCCCCATCTCCACACCCATTCATATTATTACAAACAGCCATAATAAATTGAGGGTCACTTTGATGTTTTGTGTATGGCTGCACTTCCCTGAAAAAGTCTGATCTCAAAAGCTAAGTTTCAGGACTATTAGTACTTGAATGGGAGACCACCTGGGAATACGAGATGTAGTAGGCTTGAGCTGTTATGGTGCAGTGGTAGTATCCCTATCTCTGAGCCAGAAAAACAGGAGGCTGGAAGAACACAGCAAGCCAGGCAGCATCTAGAGGAAAGGGGCAGTCAATGTTTCGACTATTACCCTTCTTTAGGACTGGATGCGGGGGTAGGGGAAGCTGCAGATCAAGGGGGCAAGGGTGGAGGCAGAATGGTGCTGATAGATGGACATTAGTGGGAGGTACGACCTCTACCACCGTTCTGCCTCCACCCCCTTTATTTGCAGCTCCCCCTAGCCCCACAAACTGCCCTGAAGAACAGTAATACCCGAGACATTAAATGCTCCTTTCCGGCAGATGCTTCCTGACCTGCTGTATTCCTCCAGCTTCCGGTTAGTGTCTTCCTCTGTTTTGCCTTCATTGTTTTCACACAGTCCCCGGTACCTCACGTGCTTTTTACCTATTGGCTGCACCTTTGTTTTGCGATGTACTGATTGGCCACCTACGATGAACGTTGCGGACCGTGATTGGCCGATGAAAGCCGACGTTGCGCCGCCCCCGCCCCCACACTGTGATTGGCTTTGGTGTGGCTCCGCCTCTTCCCCGCGATGTGACTGGTCCGTGTTCTGGGTGTGGTTCTGTCATTGGCGGTTGGAGCCGTCAGTCAGCGGCGGAGCGATCATGGCGGTGGCGAGTTTGTTGGAGGAGTACCGTAGGATGCCGAGCATTACTCGGGCCTATACTAGCGCCTGTGTACTCACCACTGCGGCTGTGGTGGGTGGGGGAAAGAGAGAGAATGGGCGAGGGTGGAGGGGAGAATGTGTGTGTGAGTGAGACGGTAGTGGACGGGGGTGTAGAGAAATGCAGTTGTGGCGTAGGAATGGGACGGGGATAGAGTTGGGGTGGAGAAAGAGTGAGGGAAAGGAAGGGAATTAGTGAGGAGTGAGAAAGTGTGGGATGAAGGAAGGGAGTGTGGGGCTGATTTGTGCAGTCAATACTGTCGCTATTTCTCATGGTGCAGTTGGCAGCTGTATGGGGAATGGGTTTGGAAACACCACTGTTACTTTGGAGAGAGAAGCAGTGTTATGTTTGGGATTGCTGAACAGATTGTGTGAAAATTTCTGGATGCACTAGACACTGCTTCAAGGATGCTGAATGCTTGGAAGGTAGAATTTTATAATTGTGGGCGCATGTTAAACAACAGCAGTTCCTGCAGACGGAGGTGTGGATGTGAAAGCAAGTGTTAGCAGAGAATGTTCAATGAAAAAAATTGTGGTAACAATTTGTCATGATGGATTTGAACTCCTGATCTTTGGATCCAGTGCCACTAAGTTATTGTATTCATATTGTATACAAGGCCAGCGGTTCTCCTGTAACATTGCGTATAAGGAGTCAAGCTGAGCAGAGTTAGAGGGTGAGGAATAGCACAGAATCCTCACATGCAGAGGATTGCTTTTTTGACTGGAGGCTTGTGACCAGCAGTATACCACAAGGATCGGTGCTGGATCCACTGCTTTTTGTCATTTGTATAAATGATTTGGATGTAAGTATAGGAGGTATGGTTAGTAAATTTGCAGATAACACCAACATAGTCTTCTTCACTGTCCACTACACTATCTCCAAGTACAATGGGACCTTGATAAGATGGACGAATGGGTCAAGGAGTGGCAGATAGTTTAATTTAGATAAGTGTGAGCTGTTGCATTTTTGTACGGCAAACCAGGGTATTACTTGTATAATTAATGGTAGGACCTGAGGAGTGTTGCTAAATGAAGAAATCTAGGGGTGCAGGTGCATAGTTCCTTGAAAGTAGAGTCATGGGTAGACAGGGTGGTAAAGAAGTTGTTCGGCATGCTTGCCATCATTGGTCAGGTCATTCAGTATAGGAGTTGGGATGTCTTGCTGCGGCTGTACAGGACATTGGTGAAGCCACTTTTAGAATACTGCATTCACTTCTGGTTGCCTTTCTACAGGAAAGGTGTTGTCAAACTTGAGAGAGTGCAGAAAAGTTTTGCAAGAGTGTTGCCGGAACTAAAAAGATTGAGTTATCGGGAGAGGCTGAATAGGCTGGGTTTTTTTCCCTGGGGCATCAGAGGCTGAGGAATGACCTTGTAGAGGTTTATAACATAGGGCATGGATAGGGTGAATAACCATGGTTGTTTTCCTATGGTTGGGAGCGGGTGGCGGGGACAATTCCAGAACTAGAGGGCATAGGTTTAAGGTGAGAGAGGAAAGATTTAAAAGGAATCTGAGGGGCAAATTTGTCACACAGAGGATGGTGTGTGTATGGACCAAGCTGCCGGAGGAAATGGTGGAGGCTGGTACAATTACAACATTTAAAAGGCATCTGGATGGGTATATGAATAGGAAGGGTTTACAGGGATATAGGCCAAATGCTCACAAACAGGACTCGGGCAGATTGGGATGCCTGGTTGGTGTGGGTGAGTTGGACCAAAGGGTCAGTTTCTGTGCTGTATGACTCTATGTAAATCATTCATTTTATACTTTATTGAATTTTTGAACTACAATGTTGTAATTTGAACTCTCACTGTCTCAATTATAAGAATAGGTCTCTGGTGAAGTAGCATTGTCAGCCTGCTGCTGGACCTGAATGATACTTTTTCTAATTCATTCATGGAATGTGGGCATCACTGAATGGGCCAGCATTCATTGTCCATCCCTGATTAGCCTGGAGCAGATGTTAATGAGCTGGCTCTTTGAATTACTACAGTCTTTGTGCTGCAGGGGCATCCACAGGACCATTACTAAGGGAGTTCAGATTTTAATCCAATGGCAGATAAGGAAAGGTGATATATTTCCAGGTCAGGATGCTGTGTGGCCTGGAGGGGAACTTACAGATGATGATATTCCTATGCATCTGCTGCCCTTGTCCTTCTAATTGGAAGTGGTCGTGGGTTTGGAAGATCCTGTCTAAGGGTGTTTGGTGAATTTCTGCGCAGCATCTTGTAGATAGCAGCAGCAGTGTGTACTGAGCATTGGTGGTCGGGGGAAGTGGATGTTTATGGATGTGGGCTACTTTGTCCTGAATGATGTCAAGCTTCTTGAGTGTTGTTGGCGTTGCGCCCATTCAGGCAATTGAGGAGACACATTCCCGTCTTGTGTCTTGTAGATGGTGGACAAGTTTTAGGGAGTCAGGAGATGAGTTACAAACTGCAGTATTCCTAGCTTCTGACCTGCTGTTGTAGCTACTGTATTTATATGGCGAGTCCATTTGAATTTTTGGTCGCTGTTAATCCCCAGAATTGATAGTGGGACATTCAGTGATGGCAACCCCATCAGATTTTGATTTGATTTATTTGTTGTCTCATGTATTTTGTAACAAAATACAGTGAAAAGTGTTGTACACTGTTACCACGGTCTGGCACCATCTTAAAGCACAAAAAAACCTAAAACATAGAATCTAAAGGGAAAAGAATAAAGAAAGTGTTCACCTTTTATAGTCGTTCTTGTTGAGTGCCACCAGGCTCATGGCAGAGCCACACTTGAGACCCCTTTGCTGCACTGTTGCTGCTGGAATGAAAACCGCCACCCTTGAGTGCTATCTCGCCTCCACCGATGTCCTCGCTAGACCCTGCCAACCGAGACTGTATCGATGCTGCTGGGTAGCGCACCAGCCCAAACTCAACTCTGCTGCCACCAAGAGTCCGCTTCAGGCCTTCATGAATCCATGCTGGCCACGCGCTGCCGGGAACCCAAATCCACCTCTGCCGCAGCAGCCAATGGACAGTAGTCACATTGTCTCTAATTGGAAATGGTCATTACCTGGCATTTGTCGTGTGAATGTTACTTGCCACTTGTTAGCCCAAGCCTTGGCGATAAAGGTCACAGGTTTCAAAGGTTCTGTTGAAGGAACCTTTGAGTTACTACAGTGCATTTTATGGATGTACAGACTGTGCTCTATTGAATGTTAGTCCTTTATTCATTCATGGGATGAGGGTGTCGCTGGCTAGGCAGCATTAATTGCCCATCCCTAATTGCTCAGAGGGCAGTTAAGAGTCCATCACGTTGCTGTGGGTCTGGAGTCACATGTAGGATGGCAGTTTCCTTCCCTAAAGAACATTAGTGAACCAGATGGGTTTTTCCAACAATTGACAGTGGATTCATGGTCATCATTAGATTCTTAATTCCAGATATTTATTGAATTCAAATTCCACCATCTGCCATGGCGGGATTCGAACCCAGGTTCCCAGAACATTATCTGGATCTCTGGATTAACAGTCCAGTGATAATATCACTAGGCCATCACCTCCCCTAATAGGTGATAAGGGGAGTGAATATCAAAGGTCGTGCATGAGGTGACAGTCAAGCATGCTACTTTGTCCTGAATGCATCACACCAGCCCCATGAGTGTGTGGCTCATTAAAGAAAGGACTTGGATTTCTTCTGGTACCTTTGGTGATTTTAAGACCTCCCAAATGCTTTTGAAGCACTAGAGTATAGTCAGTGTTGTAATATAGCGAATGTGGTAACAATATTGTGCACAGCATGAGCCCACAGTTAATAATGTGGTATCAACCAGACAATCTGTGTTTAATGGCACTGATTGAAGATGATATTTTACCTGGGACATGTGTCCTGCCAAATAATGTGAAAGTAGTTTTCAGGTGAAGGGTAGGGCCTTAAGGAGGGTAGTGGAACAAGAGGGAACTTGGAGTTCAGGTGCATGGTTCTCTGAAAGTGGGGTCACAGGCAGACAGGGCAGTGAAGAAGGCTTTTGGCACACTGGCCTTCATCAGTCAGGGCATTGAGTATAGAAGTTGGGAGGTTAGGTTGCAGTTGTACAGGATATTGGTGAGGCCACACTTGGAGTATGGTGTTCAGTTTTGGTCACCTTGCTGTAGGAAGGGTGTTATTAAACTGGAAAGACTGCAGAAGAAATTTACAAGGATGTTGCCAGGACCCAAGGGTCTGAGTTATAGGGAGAGGTTGGACAATCTAGGACTTTTTTTCTTTAGAGCATAGGAGACTGAGGGGGGATCTTATAAACTTCTAGAAGATGATGAGAGGCATGGATAGGATGGAGGCACTCAGTCTTTTTCCCAGGGTTGGGGAATCGAGGACTAGAGGGCATCAGTTTAAGGTAAGAGGGGAGAGAATACATGGGAACCTGAGGGGCAACTTTTTTACACAGAAGTTGGGACACATTTGGAATGGTTGAGGCTGGTATATTAACAGCATTTAAAAGGCATTTGGATGAATACATGGGTAGGAAAGATTTAGAAGGATATGGGCCAAGTGCAGGGAAATGGGGTTAGTGTGGATGGACATTTTGGTTGGCCTAGACCAGTTTGGGCTGAAGGGCCTGTCTCCGTGCTGTAGGATTCTATGATTCTAGTTTTTGTGATGTTTGATATGTTTTTCGTTACTGTTTAGTTTATGGCCTTGGTGGATCTTGTAATTATACGGAGGAGTCAATTGTTTACTCTACAGCAAAGAACTTTTGCTGATTTTTGTGTCTCTCTTTCTTCAATCCCCAGTCCAGGGCATGATTTAGATTGGCTACTCTACCAAAAGCAGTGATTAAATTTAGGACTTTCTAGTGTGCGTTGCACTTTCTGTGTACTAACCAAATAAAATAAACCTTAACCTGTTAACCACAATGATGATCTCTAACTACCTGAGTACAACAGCATGAGTTTGACTGTCTCCAGCATCCTTCCTGCTCTTTTGCATGTTGTTTAATAAGATGTTTGTGTGCTGCTTGTTTGTTCGGGCTGTCATTGAGGCTATATCCTCTAGTTAGTACTTCCAGTAAATTCTTTCTTGTCTTTTCATAGCAACTGGAGTTTATCACCCCATTCCAACTTTATTTCAATCCTGACTTGATAGTCAAGAAATATCAGGTATGTTTCAACAAAATATATGAACTCATGTTTTATGATGCATTGCCCTACGATATCTTTGATTATTACCACTCTCTACTGCATTGAACCCAGTAGTTGTATAATTCACCTTTGTTTGATAATCTTAATTCAATAATTGAGTATCATTTAACAATTCCATCTGTGTGAAATTCTCCAGAACAATATGCTGAGAGTTTGTAAAGTTTATTAAATTATATAGTATGCATGTGTATATTTAATTCATTTATATTTCTCTTATGTTGTTGCAGGTGTGGAGACTACTAACCAACTTTCTCTTCTTTGGGCCATTGGGATTTAGCTTTCTGTTCAATATGATCTTCTTGTATCCTTTGTGTGGCAGAATGGGATGGCAGATGGGTTTGAGTTGATTTAAGTTTTGCTGTCAGATCCAGCCGTGAGTTCTGATAGTGTTGGGAAGACAGCAAATACCCCAAACCCAGATAGGAACTGACTGTGTTTTAACAGGTGTCTTAGGCACTTTTTTTTTAACCTCTGATTCTTTTAATGCCCGGAAGTGAAGCTTAAAACAAAATCAGAGGTTACAGAATTTGAATCCTGTTTGGCTGCTTAGTGGAGTCACTACTGAAACTTGTCTCATTCTGAGTTCAGTTGCTGCTGATGAGTCAAGTTTGCAAGCTTGAAGCAGTGAACTTTTCAGCACAGCAATAGACCATTTAGCCCACCAGATTTGTGTCTGTGTTTATTGTAAATTGAATCTCTTTCAGCCCTCTCTCTTCAAGGAGGCCTTGCAGACTCCTTCCCCTTCAGCTGGATGAAGGTTTGACATATTGGGCCTTTCCTGGTCCAGGATGAAACATGTTCACTTTGTACAAAACTTTGATTAGTGGGCAACACCTTATTATAAACTTTGACCCAGATGTGATGCAGCTGGAGACTGGAAGCTGTTCAGGGTCTGCAGCCCTTCCCTCTTGGCTATATATGTGTTGAGATCAGTCTGAGGTATTGTGATTTCTTCTCTGCAGCCTGTATGGGTGATGTGCCTTTGACACTACACAGCTTTCTGGGGCTTTTATCATTTTAAACCTTTTCAAAGCTCTTTTAAATGTAGTTTTAGAAACATTCTTGTGGCCTTCTTGATGTCTATCATTGCACAGCTGGGAGTAAATTATCAATGGTTTCTCATTTAAAAAAAATTAATGCAAATGTTTTATGGAAGAAATGAGTCATTGACAACTACAAGCAGTTAGAAGTACTTATAATTAGCTGTGGTAGCACAGAGGTGGCCATCAGCCTGAGTCCGTGCCAGCTCTCTAAAGCAATGTGGTGAGTACCATTCCCCCACTCTGTCCCGTTTAGATTCCACCATGAAGAGTAGCGCCTATAAATGGGCATCACAGATTGTACTTCTCTGCCGGAGTCAGACTGATTATCTCCCCATTGTAACATAAAAACATTAACTCTTGGTGGGATTCATGCTGATGTAGGCATACTTCATATTTGAAATCGGCGAGCAAGAATAGGCAAGTTAACCAGTTGTGGGGGACAGCACAATCAAATCCAATCTTGTGCACTGGAAGAGAACATTCTCATTATCTCTTTCTAGGTGAGATCTGCTGGAGTAATTTATTTTTATTTGTTCACAGGCTTTGGGTATCACTAAGCAGTCCAGCCTTTATTACCCTTGAGAAGGCAATGGTGAGCAGCTGCTGTTAGGGAGGGAGTTCTCAGATTTTGATCCAGTGAGACAGTGAAGGAATGGCAATATATTTCCAAGTTGGGAGAGTGCATGGCTTGGAGAGGAACTTGCAAGTAGTGGCGTTCCCATATTTCTGTTGCCCTTATCCTTCAAGGAGGTAGACATCATTGATTTGGAAGGTGCTGTTGAAGGAGTGAGCTTTTCAGCACATCAATAGGCCATTTAGCCCACCAGATTTGTGCGTCTGTAATTACTTATCTATATTCCCCTTAACCACATCTATCCAATCGGCCTCCTCTGTTCCCCATGGCACCAAGTTCTTGTCTGTGGGTAAATAAGTTTTTCATTGTTCTTTGGATTTATTACTGAGTATATTGTATTTATGACCTTGAGTTTTGGACTTGCCCCACAAGTAGAACCATCGTCCACTTTGTTGAATCCTTTCATACTTTAAAAAATTACCTCCTGTAGGTCACTTTTTTTTTAAGAGAAAAGAGCTCAAGCCTGCTCAGATTGATCAAAGATGCTTTTGTTTCACCTTTCTCTGCTCCCACTGAACCCAATCATAGCATCCTAATGGCTGGTATGGCTATATTTTGCTCACTTTGCAGATAGGATTTGTAAATCGTGACACTAGTCCTTGACTGCACCTTTACCCATCAGACCCCAGTTGGAACCACCTGAGTTAGCATCTTCTCAGTATTCAGCAAACTGCAGGCTTTAGCCAAAGGGTTTGAATCATTAGTATAGTTGGCTTTCTAGAGAAGAAAACTAAAAGACTTCTGTTGTCACACTTTTCACAACCACTTGACATCTCGAGTCACTTTACAATCAATGGAGTACTTTTGGAGTATTGTCACCTTGTAATGTAGGCAATGTGGCAGCCAATTTGCAGACAGCAAGGGCTCTTGTGGTGCAGAGGTAGTGTTCCTACCTCAGGCCTAGGAGACCTGGGTTCAAGCCCACATGCTCCAGAGTTATGTAATGACATCTCTGAACAGATTGATTAGAAAATAGATATATAAAAAGAAATTGCAGACAAGTTCACACAGCAGCAATCTGATAATAATGTAATAATCTTATTCGTGATGTTGCTAGAGGATAGTTATTGATCAGAACATTGGGGATAACTCCCCGATCATCAAAATAGTGCTGTGGATGATTTTACATCCATCTGAGCAGGTAGCTGGGTCCATTGTTTTCTCATGTCATCTGAAAGAAAACCTCATCAATGGTACTGCACTGGAGTGTCAGTCTTGATAATTGTGTTGAAGCCTTGGAGTGGGAGTTGAACCCAGAACCTTTTAATTCAGAAATAAGTGTACTTTTGATTGAGCCACAGACAGCAAGAAAAAGACAGTTGTGTATGATGTGCCTGCTCTCTGATTATTTTATGTGCAGTCCCTCAGGCTCGTAAACACCTGTAAGTTTGTAGAAACCCGAATAAGCTTCAGGTTTTCTTGAGCTATCGTTATTAGAAACTTGTGTATAAACTTACTGTGACCTTGACCTATAATTAGTTGTTATTTGCATTGGAGGAAGTGTGTGTGTGTGTGTGTGTGAAGAATTGCGATTACGACCCATGCACAATTTTAAACCATTTAGCTGTCTGTAGTGCAGTGTGTGAGTAGTGCAGACAGAGTGTAAACTTCATGTAGAACAGGGTTTTGAGTTGGAGTGCAATTGGAAGACATTGGACTTCAGACTCCATTTCTGAAGTCAGAAATCTGCTTTTATTTAGAAATTAGTAAACTTCTTTGCTTATATTTATAATGGAACCTGTCCATGTGAACATATTAATAATTACAACTTCCTTTATTCTCACATTTTCTTGTAACAGTTAGAGAAAGTTCATTAGAGTATACTGTATTAAACGATTAAAAACCATTTAACTCATCAGGCTGTTTGACTCTGTTAGAGCAATCCAAAACTAATTCCACTGCCCTGCTATTTCTTCGTAGCCCTATAACAATTCCCAAACTTATCCTGTTTTCCTCAGACCTAACCTAATTCTACCATCTTGCAATAATAAAAGAGCTGCAGAAGCTGGAAATCTGAAACAAAAACAGAAGTTCCTGGAGAAACTCAGGAGCAGAGGTTTTGGATAGTTGGAGGAGATTCCAGAGAAGGGCTAAGACCGCACTGATTTGAAAACACTTGAGATTTTGAAAGTGTGCCAGATCTAATCTGACCAATTATTACCCTCTGAGTCATCAGAAAGTAATGGATGATAAACTTTTGCCAGGTCGCATAGGATGTCATTATGATCGAGGGCAGTTTTTTGCCAAGCTCTGAGTGCACTGTGATTACAAGACTGTCTTTGTCTTTGTCCTGAAGTTTTGAATTGCTGTTTCTTGTGTTGGACAGTAAAAATGATGCCTCTTCTTTGTGCTGTTAAAAAAAAAATTAGCCTGTAAGGATCTCTGACCATGTGGAAAGTGTCAGTTCTGTACTTTTCTTTGATATCCGCAGGCGATGTCAACTTGCCCCTGTGCTGTTAACTGGAATAAGCAGTACAGGAATAGTTGAGGCACTTGGGGGAAGTGGAATATACATATGAGAAGGGAAGAAATAGAAAGAATGCTCAATTGGAACCTGAAAACTGGCAGAGACTGGTGGGGTGAATGGCCTTTCTCTGTGCTGTAAATTCTGTGCAATTCTCTGATCATGTACCGAAGCCTAGAGCAATACTCAGTGGAGAAGCTAACAGTCAGACCATTTAAAAGCTATACTATAACCTGGTGTCGTCTGATTTTTGACCATTTAAAAGCTAATATGGAAGTATATGTCTAAATATTGGCTGACTCAAAATTTAACCTTAGCCAATGCAGTCCATATGTTTGATCCCTGAAGGGCAAATTTGCTCCTGATCCCTGTCCAATTCTTGTCTTGCAGAGCCAAACTCACCTTTGATATCCCTATAATTGAATATTTGGCTGATGCTTCCTGCCTGGATCTCTGCAGGAAGTTCTATGGATGAGGTTAATGGGTCCCATACCAGCATCGTTGAAGAGCAGGCAATTTCAGTAGCCGGGCAGTAAAACAGAAGTTGCAGGCCCACTGGTTTCATCCCACCACTCCCAATCCCAACAGGCACAGAACTGATAGAATCCATCAGACGGTATCCATAATCCATCTGTAATGACTGAATCCCAAAATCTGTAAACTGACTGGTTTTGTGTGCGTCACTGGGAGGACTTTGGGTTGAATGCCCATAGCTCCGAGGGGTTAGATCTGACAGTAAATTGCAGGCTGTCTTCTTTTACTCTGTCCCAGATACAGATACTGTCGAATGTTGGAGGAAGGATCATTCAGGGGAAGAACGGCTGACTTTCTGCTCATGTTTATTTTTGGTGGGTTTTTAATGACAGTATCCTTTTTGCAATGTACCTGATAGTGACAGTGGTCATTATTGTGGTCTCTCATACAGTGCTTCTTTTTAATTGAGTATTTCTCAGATTGCTGAGTGCTTCTTTCTAAGCCTCTGAAGATCATTCCAAACTTATTGTTGTGAACTATGCAATGATGCTGCCAACACTCTTCCCTACCTGTCCACCATCCTGAATGTCTAGGCAAAGCTGTTTGTGGTAGAAAGAAAGGTTCATATTTACATATTTCACAGCCTCAGTATATCCCAAGAAATTAAGTACTTGGTACTGCCATGTTGGGAAATGATTTGCAGTAAGACATGACCAGTGTACTCATGCTGTGATCCCACTCAACATGTGCAGCAGTACTAATCACTGGGCTGTGACTGGTCAGCCAGTCACCAATCACTGGTTCAGTCAGATCCCAGTCACTAGTGGGAATCACTGGGTTCTGACTTAAAGACTAATAAACAGTGGTAATAACTGGGTTCTGACTGGGGCCAATCTGCAATGGGAATCATCAGACTCTGGCAGATGGGCCAATGAGCAGTGAGAATCACTAAGGTGTAGGAAGCTGCTGTTAATCACTAAAAATACCAGGAGAGCTTTCAAAGGCTGGTATACCACTATAACATGGATGTGGCAATTCACCTTTGGCTTCCGTCTCTCATACTCTAACCCAGTGTAAATGAGGTGCATGTAGACCTTGGTCAGAACCACAGAACTGAGGTGGTGTCTCCGGTTTAAAGGAGTTAAATTCAGAATGGAGAATGAAGGTGAGTGTGGCACAGTATCTGGAAATTGCTAACAAAGTTGTCCAGGTCAAGAATAGTTTATAAATCAGTAACGGGCAAGCAGAGAAATGCTGGCCTTTTAGCTTAGTATGGGAGAGAAGGCTGCTAATGTTACCTTCTGGCCCCTTACTAAGTTCTGTATTTATCAACAACAAAAACAGGAAATTGCTGGGGAAATTCTGCAAATCTGGCAGTATCTGTGGAGAGAGAACCAAGTTGATGTTTCGAGTCCAGTCACCCTTCTTCTGAAGAAGCATAATACACAAAATATTGACTTCTCTTTTCCTCCAGATGCTGCCTGGCTTGCTTTGTTCTTCCAGCCTCCTATTTGTCTAAATTCTTCAGAACCTGCTCGTCAAACTTGGATTGAGTTGTTGTTTCGTATATTAATGAAAAGTAAAACATTATTCTAGTTTGTTATAGATGTACTAAGCAATGAGCAAACCAACCAAATGGCAGCCAAGTTCCATAAAATGCACATAAATATGAGGCGACTATGGCTCACTGAATGTGAACTTGCCTAGTGTCTAATATGCTGTTTCTGTCCAGGACCCTTGACTCTAGTACTCAGCTGTTTGGAATCTTTGCGAGCTTGTTCTTCCTGGGTCAGGCCTTCACCATCATGCTTGTGTATGTGTGGAGCAGGAGGAACCCATTTGTACGAATGAATTTCTTTGGGCTGCTAAATTTCCAGGCTCCATTCCTGCCTTGGGTGCTGATGGGGTTCTCGCTGCTTCTGGGAAACTCTGTCATCGTTGATTTGTTGGGTAAGATTTCAAATGTTGGAATTTACCAAGTTTATATCATCCCTGACCAGGCTAATTTAATAAATTACAGTTAAAAACCGAGTTAATGAACAAATGCTTCAAATCTTCTGCATTAAAGAGAGGTTGTGGATGTCTGTGCACATATTCCTCTCCTTTTTTTTATTATTATTCAGCTGCAACTTGAGAGGAGACATTTAATTTGGGTGTCCTTTTATCAAATGCAAAATTCTATCCAGTGACCTTGGTTTCCTGTCGTAATGCAAACTCCTACGGTTTTTGGAAATCTGAAATTAGAAACAGAATTCTGCAGAAGTACAACAAGACTGGCAATCCATGTGAAGAAAGAAATTCATGTCATAGTTGCTCTGAGAAAGTCAAATCCTGCAATATTAACTTGGTTTTCTGATTCGCAGGAGCTACTTGACCTGTTGAGCATTTCCAACATTTTCAGTTTCTGTTACCTTGGTATCCAGTGTTGATCCATGTAGCTATACAGAGCTGGGACCAGGGGAGTCCAGTAGGGAGGGAGGAGAAGTTTGTGAGGGAGGGAGAGGCTGGTGTTGGTCAGAAGAGTGAGAGAGGGAGAAGCTGGCACGGGAGAAGGGAGGAGAGGGGTTGGTACAGGTATAGGACATAGCACAGCCTAAGAACAGGCCCTTTGATCACTATATCTGTGCTGACCAATGTGCTATTTTAAACTAATGCCATCTACCTGCACGTGTCCTGTATCCCTCTATTCCCTGCCTATTCTTTTGTCCATCTACATGTCTCTTAAACATTGCTATCACATCTGCTTGTATCAACTCCTCTGGCAGTGCATTATAGGCACCTCCCACCCACAGTGTAAAAAAAAAAAACTTTCTTAGCACATCTCCTTTTAAGCTTTCCCCCTCTCACCCTAAACCTAAGCCCCATAGTATTTGACATTTCCATCCTGGGAAAAAGACTCCCACTATCCACCCCATACATGCTGCTCATAATTTTACATTCTTCTTTCAGGTCACCCTCTGATTATCTAGTTACAGACTTGTTGTCAATGCTTCTAAGACTTTCTATACTTTCCTAAGAACAGTACAGCACAGGAGCAGGCCCATAGGCCTTTCGACTCTCCAAGCCTGCGTCGACACATCTTGCCCTTCCATACTAAAGCTGTCTTCACTTACAGGATCTGTATCCCTCTATTCCCTTTCTATTCATGTATTTGTCCAGGTGCTTCTTGAAAGCTGCTATCGTGTCTGCTTCCGCCACCACCTCTGCCAGTGCGTTCGTGTGAAAAACGATCCTCGCATATCTCTTTTAAACATTCCCCCCCCTCCCCCTCACACCTTGAACCTCTGTCCCCTAGTAATTGATCCCTCAGCCCTGGAAAGAAGCCTCATACTTTCAACTCTATCTGTGCCATTCGCAATCTTGTAAACTTCAATCAGGTCGTCCCTCAACCTCCTGCATTCCAGTCAAAATAAGCCCAGTCTATCCAACCTTTCTTTATAGCTAAAATCCCCCATACCAGGCAACATCCTGGTAAAACTTTTCTGTACCCTCTCCAAAGCATCCACATCCTTCTTGTAGTGTGGTGACGAGAACTGTATGCAATATTCCAAGTGTGGCCTAACTAAAGTTCTGTAAAGCTGCAACATAACTTGCTTATCCTAATACTCCATGTCTCTTCCAACAAAGGCAAACATGCCATCAGCCTTTCTTGCTACCTTATCTACCTGTGCTGCCACCTTCACTGATCTGTGGACCTGCACACCCAGATCCCTCTGCATATTAATACTCCTAAGGTTCTGCCATTGACTGTATAATTTCCACCTGTACTTGACCTTCCAAAATGCATCACCTCATATTTGTCTGTATTAAACTCCATCTGCCATTTTTCTGCCAAAGCTTCCAACTGATCTATATCGTGCTGTATTCTCTGATAGTCCTCCTGATTATCCACAACTCCACCAGTCTTGATATCCTACGCAAACTTACTAATTTGACCAGCTACGTTTTCCTCCAAATCATATATGTAGATCACAAACAACAGAGTGCCACCAGTGATCCCAGTGGAACACCACTCTTCCATTCTGAAAGACATCCTTCCACAGCTACCCTCTGTCTCCTGTGACCACGCCAGTTCTGTATCCAACTTGCGAGCTCACCCTGATACCATGTGACTTCACCTTTTGTAACAGTCTGCCATGAGGGACCTTGTCAAAGGCTTCACTGAAATCCATGTAGACAATATCATCTGCTTTTCTGTCATCGATCATCTTCGTCACCACCTCAAAAATCTCGATCAAGTTAGTGAGGCATGACCTCCTCTGCACAAAGCCATGCTGTTTATCGCTAATCAGTCCATTTCCTTCGAAATGCGTACAGATATTGTCCCTGAGAATCTTTACCAGTAAGTTCCCTACCAATGATGTGAGGCTGACAAGCCTGTAATTTCCTGGATTATCCCTGTTACCCTTTTTAAACAATGGGACATCATTGGCTATTCTCCAGATGTCTGGGACCTCACCTGTGGCCAAAGAGGATACAAAGATGTCTGTCAGTGCTCCAGCAATTTGTTCTCTTGCTTCCCTCAGTTTTCTGGGATGGATCCCATCAAGACCTGGGGACTTATCTACCTTAATACTTTTCAAGTCACCCAATTTGTTCTGCCGTTTATTATCAATATACCCTGGAATATCTTGCATTTGATCTTGCGAAATGTATGACCTCAGATTTGTCCAGATTAAACTACTGTCTGCCATTTCTGTGGCCAATGTTTCAACTGATCTATATCCTGCTGCATCCTTCGACAACCTTCCTCACCATCCATAACTGCACCAATATTTGTCGTCTGCAACGTTGCTATTCAGACCACCTACATTTTCATCCAAACCATTTACTTATATTATAATCAACAGAGGTACCAGCACTGATCCTCGCAGAGCACCATTACTTACAGAACGCCATTGCTCACAGACCTCAAGTCAGAAAAATACCCCTCCACAACTACCCTTTTGTTTTCTATGACCAAACCAATTTTGTATCCAACTTATCAATTCAATGATAACTTAATCTTGTGGACCAGCTGACCATGAGAGACCTTGTCAAATGTTCCAGTAAAGTCCGTGTAGATAACATCCACTGCCCAACCCTCATCAATCATTCTCATTATGTCCTCAAAAAGCTCAATTAAATTTGAGACAAGACCTCCCCTGTATAGTCATGCTGATTATCCTTAATACGATCATTCTTTTCCAAATATGAGTAAATCCTGTTCCTAAGAATCTTCTCCAATAATTTGCCTACGACTATATAATTTCCTGGGTCATCCCTGTTGCTCATTTTAAACAAAGGAACAACATCGGCTTTTGTCCAGTCTTGTGGCTAAAGAGAATGCAAAGATGTCTGTCAAGGTCCCAGCAATTGCCTCCCATGCTTCCCCCAATATCCTGGGATAGATCCCATCAGGCCCTATGTACTTAATGTTTTTTTTTTAAGACATGCAACACCTTCTGCTCTCTATTATCAATGTGTTCTAGAATATCAACATATTCCTCTCTCATCTTACCATCATCCGTTTCCTTGACCATGGGGAATACTGATACAAAGTAATCATTAAGGACCTCACCCACTTCTGGCTGCATGCACAAATTCCCTCCTTATCCTTGAGTGGACCTATCCTTCCCCTAGCTACCCTCTTGCTCCTAATATACATATGAAATGCCTTGGGGTTCTCACTAATCCTACTTGCCAACCAGATTTCATGGTCTCTTTTAGCACTCATAAAGGAAACAGGAAAGAATTGAAATAAGGAATTAGGAATTTCCTCAAGGCTTTTGTCTGATTTCAGTTTCCTAAACCTTACATTGGCTTCCTTTCTGTTTTTGACTAAACTTTCAATGTTTCTTATCATCCAGGGTTCTCAAATCGTTTAACCTCACAGGAAAATGCTGGTTCTGAACTCTGATCAACTGAACTTTAAAAGGCTCCCACATATCAAATATTAATTTGCCCTCAAACAGCCACCCCTACACTAGTTTCTCCAGTTCCTGCCCAATATACTTGTAATTAACCTTCTCCTAATTTAGCACTTCACCTGAAGTCCGGTCTTATTCATAACTGTCTTAAACCTTATGGATTTATGATCACTGTTCCCAAAATGCTCCCCCACTGAAACTTTGATCATCTGGCCAGGCTCATTCCCCAATACAGCGTCCTGTATGGCCATCTTCCATAGTTGGACTATCTACGTATTGTCTCAAGAAATCCTGGATGCACAACAAATTCTGCCCCTAGCACTAAGGGAATCCCAGTCATTATTGGGAATGTTAAAATCACTCACTGCAACACCTCTATTTTCACATTTTTCCATGGTATGCTTAGGCTATTGGGAGGCCTGTGGTTTAACCCCATCATAGTGATAATACATTTCTTATTCCTGAGTTGTACTAATATGTCCTCGTTGGATGAGCCATCTTAGGGCAGCTGTGACATTCTCCTTAATCAGTAATGGAGCTCCCCCACCCCTTTTACGTCCCCCTGTTTCATGTTTGAAGCATTGAAATCCTGAAACGTTGGGCAGGAAGTCCTGCCCTTCTCTTAACCAAATGGCTATAACACCATAGTTAAATGTAATAATCCAGGTTCTAAGCTCAACTGTTTGACCTGTTATACTCCTTAGATAACACTAAATACATTTCAGGCTGCCAGTCTCATTGTGTTGCCTGTTCTTCCAAGTAGACTTACTTCATTAAACCTCTTCTTTCTCCTCAATCACTCCACATGCAGACCTACTGCTCTGATTTCCCCACCCCACTAGTTGAAACCTTCCCGAATGGCACTAGCAAACCTTCCTGCAAGGATATTGATGCCCCACTGTCCTCCTCCTACAAGGTCTCTCCAGCCCTGGAAAAGATCCCAATAATTCAGATATCTGAATCTGATCTCACTGTCATATGGCAGAGGGAGGAAGGAGAGACTGGCATTGGACAGAGGGAGGGCGGAGAGAAGAGGTTGGTGTCGGTGGCAGGGAAGGAGGGAGGATGGATGGGTGAGTGTAGAGATCGGTGTTGGAGGGACAGGGAGGAAAGATGCAAGAAATTATCGGTTTTGTTGTGGGGCTGATCGAGAGAGAGAGGGAAAGAGATGAAAGGAGCTAAGTGTTGGATTGGGAAGTGGAAGGTGAAGGAAAGCAGGGGAGGTCACTGATCACATATGGATTGATGAATGGAAGAATCTCAAAGTGTGAATTTACAACTGATCCAAGAAGGAGACCAGGTTTTGAATTGTGTAGCAAATGAAGCGATTGCTCCTCATTGTAAGTCTGAGCATCTTGTGTGAGAGCCTCAAAGGCACTATCAGATTCTTAGCCCCTCCATTTACAGCCAGTGGATGCCAACATCGGTGACCTTGAATAGGTGCTTTCACCTCTCCCTTTTGCTACAGGAATTGCTGTTGGCCATATTTATTACTTCCTGGAAGATGTATTCCCAAACCAGCCGGGAGGAGTGAGGTTGCTGGTGACTCCAAGATTTCTGTAAGTGTTGCTGATGTCCTTTAGGCTGACTGCTGTTTGTGTTCATGCAGTGGACAGTGTGATTGTTGAGTGGATCTAACTACCCCAGTAAGTATGACCATTCTTCTACCTTTTCATTGACATCGTTTGTTACTTTTGTTCAGTAACTTTGTGAACCTCTCGGAGCATTTTTTCTGAAAGTTGTTTACTGATACTGGGTTTTATGGCACTGATTGAACTCTTCAGTCTAGCTCGAAAGGTTCCCACTGTGAAGTGTGTGTATGTTGATGAGCTAGTGGGCGTTGTCATAGCTGGTACATGGAGTGTGGGCACGTTCTTTGTCGAGTGTCATTCAGGTTTCCTTGGTTTTTTCTGGCAGTGCTGTCCTGATACAAACAATGTCTAGTACCTGAGATAGTAGAAACTGCAGATGCTGGAGAATCTGAGATAACAAGGTGTAGAGCTGGATGAACACAGCAGGCCAAGCAGCATCAGA